GGGTCTGAGGATTTTGATTGTGTCACAATGAAATTTACCTGATCTGATTCTCCCCTCCCCCAAGGCCTTTTAGTAATCTAATGACCCCCCTCCAGTTTGCAGTCATATTTCTATACTCCCGGGCGCGTCCCCCTTTATACTCTGCTAGCGACGATGGTTCCCCCTTCGTGAAAGGACTGAAAGAGGACTGAAAGAGGACTGAAAGAGAGAAAAAACTGAAATGTGATGGACCGATCCTTTTTGAAGGGAGGATTTCTTTTTCTCTTCTTTTTTTTTACTTTTGTCATCTAGATATTTTTCGTGTAACATCGCTATAAGCCTTCAAAGTTACAACTGTTAGTTGGAAAAAAAATCTCAAGGTCCCAAGGTAGAGGTTACACAGAAAGGAAAGACAGCAGAATATAAGTGAGATTAATTACTTTTAACAAATAGTCAGCTGGTGACCCTGATGGCCTGTTCTATCAAAGAAAAGGTACACGCGGCGCACTCAGTGTGTCACTGATACTTCAGAAGATAAAATACAAAATATCGTTAATGGTGACGTCATCTATGTGTCTGTTAGTCGTAAGTAGGAACCAGTCAACATAGATGTATGATTCAGCTTTTCATAGGACTATTAGTTGAATAGTCGAACCTGCGTTAGAGTGACGCAACTTCGGTTTCTCTTACTAAATAATGTATGAATACTATTTTTAGTTGAGAAGACAGCACGTGATAGAATGCCAAGAGGATGCAGATCGTGGGTGCGGAATGGTGATTGTTACCTTCACCAAGAGTTTATGTTGCAAAACTGTAGGGAGTCTTGTATGGCAGGGGGATATAAAAACGGTAAGTAAACCAAGAACAAAATTAACGTTATAGTCCAGTAAGTAACTTGCGCTTCCCCGAAAAAAGTGCGCGGCTCCTCACGACAGTCACTGTCTGCTTGTTAGAGAAGAGTGCAGAGTGACGTCAAACCGAAACCACACAGAACTAAAAAATATTTGAAGCAAGAAGACGCAAATGAAAAAGTTAAGATTAGTTTCAGTTTTTAATATGATTGGTTGAGAAAATTTCGCGAGTTATCTGAACCAATCATAGAGCAAAATCAAGGGAAGGATAACCACCAAGCTTTACCGGGTTACTTTTGACACTCGTTTGAAAATTTCTACTTCAAAAAAGAAACATAATCGTTTCGTAATCGTAGATCGCGACGTTTCGACTGCATACTGCTGGTCTTCTTCAGGCGAAAATTTCTATATTTTGTTTCAGATCGTTGATTCAGTTATGTGTTTATGATCATTTTCAGGACGCATGTGCTTAGATGAGGTGGCAGATTGCCATAACTTAGCTAGAGAAGGACTTTGCAAAAGCCGAAGTGCTATGGGTATTATGAGACAATACTGCAAATACAGCTGCGGATGGTGTTCTTAAAATGTACAGAAATTATGTCAAAAGCTGCTCCAAGAGGCCAAAAAGTAATTTAAAACAGTGCGTGTGGTTAAAAGCCAATCCCTTTTGCTCGTCTACAATATTTCTTAGGTATCAGTCTCTTTACTGCGGGAGACCTGGGAACCGGAGAGCTGGCTTACAGTAACTTATTTCGTGTTCTACCGATATTAGCCGTTTTATGGTCTTTCGGTTGGTTCCCTCATTTTGGTTTTCAATTTTCCAACAAGGAAAAACCGTTTTAAGTGGATTTGGTTGATCAACTCTTTCAATCGGTCAAACCAGGTTGAAATAAAATGGGTAGCAACCGTTGTCGTCTCATGCTTATATAATGGTGACCGCAGGCTTTATTCGGCGGCTTCCGCGCTCGCTATGAACGTGAGGGGAAAAAAAAGAAAAAAAAAAGTATTGTTATCGTGAAAACAAGTAACGAGTAAAACTGAAAGAAATTCGGAATTAAAGGAAATTCAAAAGTGTGCAAATTAGCGAAGAAGGAGTAGGAATCGTGCCACAAGAAGAAGAATGATTGGAATTTTTTGTTTGATAATGACTTTTACCACAAGCTATTTTCAACCGAAAATAGATGGTCAAGGGATTTATATTTCGAGATAACAACCACTTCAACCTTTATCGGTTGCGGTTGAAACGGTTCATCCTAATTAGAACACGGCCTTAGATTGTAGTTTTTTCTCCACTTCTATGAGATGCAATTGGCCGCATAAAGCCTTAAGCAGTGTATTCATTCTTATCGGCTTCGCCCCGGAGTAAACGCTGCATCTAAGAGGCCGCCGTCGCCTAAAGGTGAGGCGCCTTTTCGGTTAATGTAACCGTCTCTTCATTACCGCTGGGTTCCAATATATATGGAATTTTCGCATAACTTATTTCCGCTTTTAAGGCCGATAATTTCATCTTTGACAACGGTGTACTGCCCCGTTACTAAAAAAGTTAGGTTACTTTTTTTCTCCTCTAAGGATAGAAAGCGAATGCTGTGTGTTTGTTTAGAATAAGCTGTTGACATCATTTGGGAACTCGAAATCATTTAAACAGCGCTTGCATTTGAATACCCAAGCAATATTTTTTATCTGATAATGGGTAGAAATAATAAAAAGGGTTAATATTTTACTGTATGTGAACACAAATATTTTAAGCAACGGATTCAACGCGTCCCAAACGCATAAAATTGTTTATGAATCATGCAGAGAGATATGCTATTAGCAGCCTTAGAAGGCGAGTAAAGAAGCAGTTATGGCCTTGTATGCTATTCGATTCTACCAATAACTCGAGTATTTGTGCCTTTGATCCATATTTTTTTTAATTAGTAAAGGTCAAAGCGATGCTTAAATCTTGTTTATAAATCATAAATTGAGCAATGCAAGAAGTGTTCGCAGATACTCTGACTCCTTGACGTGATGCCCTCCTATCAGTAAAATACATTTCCCTTTGACCCCTGTGAGTATCTAGTATCTAATTTCTCCCTAAAGAAGCTCTTGATTGTTAAATAAATTCTCCGGGCGAGCACCTTGGGAAATGTACAGAGAACAGTGTGGAGAATATGCATACTGGTGCTAGGATGTAAAAGGTTGATAAAGGATCTTCTTATATCACTGCACGTTTAATAACTTGAATCACTCAGTGAACTGATCACCGAGTCTAATTGTGATCTTGTCAAAGAAAGTGTTATTCATCTCGTCACGAGCGTAGAACAAATAAAATTATTGAAGTCCTCATTGAGAAATCGAACTTCAGACCTTTGTTCGACGTATACCGCGCTCCGATGCTCTACCTTGAGCTACAGAGAGCAGTAAGAGAGCTAAGCTGTTACTAGGTCGATATTGATCAAAGTTGTGAACACTTGCACATGAAATCGGGGCAAAGAGCACTTGAGAAAAAAGGGTTAGAATTATTTTCCATTCGTCGCGTGTGTGCTTTGATTTGTCGACTATTGGAAAAATATTTATCTTGCTCAACAGAGAGAATTTTTTGCACAGTGCGTTGAATATTTCTTCCTGACATATTTTGCATCTGGACAAAGAAGACGTGGCAGTACAAATATGCAAGTGATGGCAAACTGTCAGAGACACTTAAAGCCATTGTTGGATGAAATTGCGATGATATAAGATTATCATGCCATTCAAGGGGATTAGCATATCAATACCCGTTGTCGCCTCGTGCCCTAGAAACCGTGAAAAGCTTCAACAGGATGACACACTTATTCAAAAGCATGCCATTTACCCTTTTTTTTTTTTTTTTTTAACAGAACTTAGGTCCAATGTCTATAAAAACCAAAGTCTCGTTTAAGGTGAAACGACAAAATAAGTGTTCGTGAAAGCTTTGTCATAATCATCAAGCCGTCTAAATGTCATTGAATCGTCTCGTTCTCAAACATCCCGCTGCGATTGATCACGGTTTATCACTTCCTCTTTGACTTTTTCATCGAATATCCTTGCGCTTTCCCAGCCTCCAGGGACTCAAATCGAACTTTAAGAACTGATTGATGAAGCGGCGTCGAATCAGAACTTTTGCGAAAATTATTAATTTTTCTTTGAGCAATTCGCCTGATGCCGTTATTAGCCTGGTTGTGTTCAATTTGGGCAGTCGCCGGAAGTAGAGAAGAAAAAAAGCCGAGCTATTAAAATAATCGTTTCGAATAGGCGCCGAAGAGATTATTTTACATCACATTACCCCAAAATGAAAGAAGATCTTAAATTGGAAAAGGCTCGTGCTTTTATAAGCATGCAATGTTTTTTTAAGAGACTTGGGGTTTTCACCTGTGAGCGGCAAATGATTCGTAGATTGATTTCGTTCTATTTTCAGCTCAGAGAGAAAACCTTTTTAAACTGGGAGTCACACCAAAGTCGAAACTTGCTAATTTTGGAGTTATGTTACCAAACAAATGAATTGTTTTGAGTTCGAAATTGCGACGAGTCGTCAATTGGTCTGATCATGGTAATATAAACACATTCCTTTAACGATCTGATACTGGTTCACTGACATTCCCAAAGCACTGAGTCGGCCACTCCCATAAAGGGCAAATTACGTACGGCGTTCTGGAAATGATAAAGGGGATTTAAACCTATTGAAATTTAAGAAGTCGATGACAAAATTCCTCTTTTTGTGACAACTTTCCTCGATATCTAATCATAAGGAACTCTTTTCTTTACTGTTGAGAGACGACGTCAATATTTGAGTGCAAAAATTTCCAACCCCTTCGTCCTTGTTGTTCTTCGGATCAAGTTTGAATGAACCAAGCGGCAGGAATAAATCAAAAAAGAGATTATGACCTCTTTGACCTGGGGTATTCTATATACCATTTATAACAATTACTGACAGAAATGAAAAAGATGCCTAGCTTGTTTGATACATCAGAATAACAACATGCTTTGTTACATTTCTAGACTCCCAGACTGTAGAGGTATTTTGTGGGAAGTAAACTTGAAGTATATATACACTTTTACAATTAGATGAGCTAAAGCTTATGACGTCAGATGATTTCCGAAACCCGTTCGTCAATTGTGGAAAGTAATCGGGCGAATATAACAGTATAATAAGAACTGATCAAAGGATTCGGAGGGCGTTTCAATCTCGCGCGCCTGTAAAGAGGCCATCACGCGCTTATCACTCTCTGCCAGTTAAATTATTTCCGCATATGGCACTTAAAGTATCTTGTCGATCCATTTGATTACCTTGGCCCCACTTTCTGTGACGGTAATCTTTTACCTTCAAAACTTTGGTGGTCACTAAACATAAACAGTTATTCATTATTTTTTTTCAACCGATCTTGGAAGAAGAATAATTTTGTTCTTTTTTTTCTTTCAAAAGAGTCTGCCTGAATGTAGGTCTTATCAATTGAGCAGTATTAGCGGCGATGGGCCTCTGGTCGATGACATCTGCTCCATTCTCGAATAAAACCACTTTTGATTTTTCCTTTCCCTGTCATTTCAGTCACAAATTAATTCAAATAATTCTCTGGCTCTAAAACAATACGTTGCTATCATTCTTTGAGGTGTTTACTCTCTTAACATAAAGTTAATCCAATTAATAAGTTTCTTTACCAAATCCCTCTAATGTACGAGACTTTCAAGAATGTCGCGGGAACCCATGGGAATCAAGGCATGACAAAAATAAACAGTGACGTCACATGGAAGGGAAAAAAACCCGAACACACTCACGTGGGGTCGACCTTCAAAAGATTGCCGAGCTTAGCATTTTCGCGGATCGAGGAGGGACCAAAGATGGTAGCGCGCTCTCTCGCGCTTCTGGCGACTATTTTCGGGAGCTCTTTGCTGATTACGGTAGGTCCTTCATCTTTTTGAAGTTGTTTTCTACAAAACATAGCAATTTCTTCGTATCATATTGGCTTCGAGGCGTCCGCACTATGAAATCTAGAATGGTTTTGATTACCTTGCTTATTTCATCGTCTTGGCGTTGGACGACCGAGTCGCTTTCGAAACGTTTCAGGGCCATTAGCGTTCAGATTAGTTCTATGAATGACACAAAAAATTATGTTTTCACGGGGTTGTTTGATGCGAATAATCATAGGATGTTTTTGAAAGCATTATGATAAAATCTCCCTTTGGTTGCTATTTATGCTCGTGACAACACACAGTTCCAATACAAATGGAAATTGACACGATTCACATCTCACTCTAGCTTTTCACGAGGGATTTATTCTTCATTCTTGCGCTATTGTCGTTTCAGCTGTGGGTTCTACACCTATTCCTTTCGCTGAGAAGTTTTCGTGTCTTCAGAGAGCGCACAAGCACATGCTTTTAACAAAGTATCACGTATCATATGTTCTGGAGACCACCATGTGAATGCGAAAATCGAATACAGCTGCTATCGCCAGGCGACTAGCCGTCTTGAACTCGATATTTGTGCTAAATTAGGATATAATTCCTAGTTCTCGTTCGCGTTGAGTAGATTCGTTGTTTATTTTGGAAGATATGTTTTGATTTGGGTTTTGCAATAATTAACTTTCAACGCGGTTCCATCAATGTACAACTAATTGCTGTGTGGTTTGAAACCAACTGCGAGATACAAATATCCGACTTGTTTGGACTGCAAAACATAACAGCGACTAAAACACTCGGGCAAAGCAACCCAATACTCGTTACTCGAAAGCAGAAAAGGAAAAGGCGTTTGACAACGCTTCATTTGGGGCCTTTGCCCTGCGGACAAAATTTCGACAAATCGCTTTACTTCGCTTGATTCACATTAGCTAGCATTACGCCGTCTTAAATGTTGGCGGCACTTTTGGCTTCGCTAGAGTTTCTTAATCCATTTCAAGAGTGTTTTCTTTTTCTCGTATCTTTTCGGCAAATTAAACATCTAAAATGATGGTAAGTAGCATTCTTTGTCGGCTCGTGTTAGCCGGTGTGTATGCTCGGGCGACTTGTAAACTGACCCTCCTCCCTGCATCTGTTCAAACTTGCCTCACGAAAACAATACGCAATAAATAGAGACCACAATTAAATTTAAGATTCTTTTCATTGCTGCACTTTGCGGTGTCAGTCGAGTGAAAATTGCACAAAGCAGAGCATTGAGCGTGTCGTGTTTACCTTTTTTTTTCTTTTACGAAGATATAGCTTGCTGTGAGTCTCGTGTATTGCGGGGCGCCAGTCGTAAGTCTAATGTTGGCAAATATGTTGTAAAACAAAACATCATGCGTTCAATGCCCGTGGCAAAATGAGCTAAATTGCAGACCGCAATTATTTTGACTGTGGAAATCGCGATGGGAGAGCTACTAAAGATCGAAAGGTCTAATCGACCCTTATTTACAACAAAACAGCACCAGCATAGTTGAAATAATTCACCTGTAAGGCGTACTTGTGGAATGGTGCCTTAGAGTTATTCATTTTCGTCGGCGAAAACAGCTCTTTGAAATGGACAAAAATATTTGCAAAAGCCAAGGTGGCTTAAGTCCTCGGGGGATAATTTCGTCGAGGAAAACAACTCTTTCGTTTTTGCAAAATGCTCCCATGTTATCAAGTGGTGAAGTGGCAAAACAAACTAAATCGCGTCGTAATCTAGTAATTCATTACTTCAGTAAAGACGCATCGTTGTCGATATGGATTAAATACAAGATGTCAAGGAAATTCCATCGCGAATGTATTAAAATTCCAAACTGTTTCCTTTCGCCGGAAATATCGCTCAGTCTTACGGATCTATCGTTCTATCGCAATCTAGGAAACGATGTGTACTTTCAAATTTACAGATTTTTTTAAAACCAATTTTCCACTCAAAATTGTTTAATGCGCTTTTTCATTAAAAAGCCCTGCATACAATATAGATAAAAGCTTCATTGGGTTGCGTGTTTGACGGGTCTGATTTCAGGACCGGAAACCGTTCGATTTGTTTTACACAGCTGGAACTCTATTTCCCATCGGAACGGCATTTTGGTTAAATACTCTTCTCCCGCACAGTTTTTCGTCGCCTGTTTTA